AAGTCCAACTTGAGGGTCTGCCCTGCAAGCACACAGCCCAAGCTTAGCCATAAGCTTCAAAAAATCTTGGATGCAAGATTAAAAATCCAAAAATGGAATAGGATTTCAGGACAAAAACAGAGGCCATGATTCGCTTTCTTTGCCATTCGACTTTATTGGTGTTAACTCAGCACGTTCCCGGGAAGGTGGGACGGTGTCTGGGATCATTTTGTTTTCCTCTCCAGGGCCAGACTGTCGTGGAGCTTGGACACCTCTGGCTCGTAGGCTTCCATGACTAACGTCCCGTTGTTATCGAAGAACTTGGCGATGGATTTGGTGAACTCGGCTTCCCTCTGCTGCTTGGTTTTCCCGCTGATGAACGTCAGCTTCAGGGTGTACTTGTCATCAAACCTGCAGGGAGAGTAGAGAGGTCTCAGAGCAGGATCCCAGCTGGAATCAGAACCCTCCCAGGCTGGAGTCCCCACCTGGGCACCCACGGCTACAAGTAACACAATCTTATACTCTGATTAAATCAGGGGGTTTAAAGAGAAGCAAAATCCATTTGTGGCAGGAAACAATTTGGCACCATTTCTAGACCAGGACATGGATTTTTGATAGAGATTTGTAGATTTGGAAAGGAAAGGGAATATTTAGGGTGATGCTCTGAAGGGATAGGGGATGGAAATGGTGGCTCTGGCTAAGCCTGGGATGTTGGAGCAAAGGGTACCGTTTGAGGCTGGAGGAGAGTTGCCAAACGTCGTCGGGGTCCATCCCTGCCGGGTCTTTCCTGTGAGCCACGAGGAAAATACTCTTCTCCTTGTATGAGGTGTAGATGGTCAGGATTCCCATCATCACAAAATACGTGCAGAGGAAGTTAAGGAAATCAGGAGTTGCAAGGACAGGCAGAGAAGTCCCTTGGATCCCCTCAGAGAGACTGTTTAAGCACCTCTTGTGACACTCCGTTCTCATGCTCAGCTGATACGTCATCAGCATGAGAAATTAATAACGAATTCTTACCTTTAATAATTACAAAATTAATTTATTATTAACTCCCTAGAAGTGTCCAAGGCCAGGTTGGACGGGGCTTGGAGCAACCCGGTCTATTGAAAAGTGTCCCTGCCTCTGGCTGGGGTTAGAGCTGGAAGGTCTTTCATGGAATTGTTTAGGCTGGAAAAGTCCAACTGTTTCCTCAGCACTGCCAAGGCCACCACTAATCCTTCACCCTGCTGAACCTCCCAGAGTGGCCTCAGCCCATGGATCCAGCCTGTCCAGATCCCTCTGCAGAGGTGCTGGCAAGAATTCCCTCTGTTCCACTTTTCCCTTTCAGTATCTGACCTGTGGTATTAGGGAAGAGCAGACATGTCTGTAACCACACTGTGGATAGAATAAGAGAATGATTTGCCCTGAGGTCACCCAAATGTAGGTGCATCATATCCAGACAGGCAGGAATTTTCCCATCACATGAAAAACTGTCTGATTATCAGCTGACCTCGGGACGAAAAATTCCCACAGGCCTGAAAACAGGAGAGACAAGGGTTTCCTTCTTGTGGAAGATCAAAGCCTTTTGGTAGAAGTGAGACAACATTTCTAAAGGATATGAGACAACACAAAAAGCAAGGACGGGTTTGGATTCAGGAAAAGGATGCAGGTAATCCCAAATCAAAGCAACAATTGCAAAGAGACAAGAGATTGTGCAGATGAGGAGGCGGCCGTCAATCAAGCGGAAATTTTCCACATATTTGTACTTTTCCAGGAGAACCTGTGGGAGAAAATGGGTGGCTGACTTAATTTTGTGCTTTCCGTGAATATGACAAACTGTTTCTGGGAAAGGTTTAGAGGAAACAGCCTCCATGAGATGGGTATACTGAGCAGAGAGTTCATGGAGAATTAATGTCAGGCATCCTGATAATTTGCTGATTAACACTGGGAATTAAGCACAATCCATGGGAATCACAAGAGATGCTACAGGCCTGGCAAGGATAGGGGCACAGACAACCCCAAAAAAGTAGAAAAGAAAATAAGAGCGTTTCCCAAGAAGGAAAAATTCAGCAGTAGCAGAAGGTACCTTTTTGGCAGAGTCATCCAGGGAATTTTTCACGGCTGAACCGTCCCATTTGTCAATTTTCACTGGCTTGTCATCAATCTTCCACTGCAAAGGAAACCAAAGGGAGTGAGGAGAATTTCATCCTAGTGCCCTTGTTCCTGCCCTGAACACAAAGACAGGAGGCAAACCAGAGAGCAGCTGCCAGTTTGGGAAAACCTCAGTGGAGACAGAGGGAATCTGGGACCCAAAAGCCCCCTCGGCACCACTGAACCTGTTGCCTGTGCAGGTTCCAGCTCATTCATCTTGTCACAGGTTTGAAGGGGCTTTCTACATCAGCTTTACTCTAAATTTGCTCCTACATTTGCTGCCATCCCCAGATTGTGACTGAATTCCTGCCATTGAATGTATTCCCTCTGTTACACGTGGACTCTTGGATGGCAGGAGGAAAATTCCAAGAACCCCCAACTATCTGTGTACAAGGGGAGAATTAAAAAGCACAAACAAGAAATGAAGTTTCAGTCAAACCGTCCTCCAGGATGAAACCAAAAGCTTCCGTTGCTCTTCCGTATTCAGGTTGCCCAACAACAGTGCCCAGATACAACAGCTCAGCTTTTCCAAGGGGTTCGCCTTCCCCTGAACTATATTATTTTTTGAGCCCTGTGTATTTTAAGTCATTCCTTATTTCAGTTGAGTGATTGGAGATGGAATTTTAGCTGCCAGTAGAGCAATACTCATTTTCCCTCATGTTATTTCCTGCTCCTACAGTTCCTGAATTGGATTATTAACCCCTAGTCCAAGTCTTTGAGTAACACCACCAACACCCAACCCCCTGCTTCCTTATCCCACAGAGAAATCAAAATGCTTCCAAGAAACCCATCCAGGCTTGACCTCACTGCTCCCAGTTATCCAGTTTGAGGACTTTGGAAAGGAGCTCCAAAGGCTTCCAAAGAAAAACTCAGACTTTGGTTTCAGCCTGATGGAGAAAAGGAGAAACCAAACAGTTCAAAACACAGTTTTTTTAAGTCTGGGTGTGTTTTGACACAAACTTAACTTTTTTTCCCCCCAAGGATTATTTCTTGTGCTGCTTTACGTTCCATTCAGTTTTAGGCTGGGTACCTGGCTTGGCTCTTTAAATATTCCACTGGAGTTCCCAGCACACTTTGGGAATTACAAACATCAGTAATCAAGTCACGAAGTAAAAACAGGTTTGTTGCTGCTGCAAGAGGAGCACCAGTGTAAAAACTCTTCAAGGGGAACAACATTTCTGTGTCTAATCTGTGTTTTCTACGACAAGGATGAAAAGAAAGAAACCTCTCCTTTCTAAAATCAGGAATTTTTCAAACTGGGACACGAGGCTGGAAGAGCCTCAGTGGATGATGCACTTCTGGGACACAGAAGGCAGTTGGTGTTCAGGAAGTGGTTTTAGTCCTGGAGCCAACTCTTGGTGTTGTGCTTAAATGGGTATTAATTAGATCAATTCAGTGTGCTTTAAATGGGAGAAATCCCCAGGGGTTTCCTGATGAGGAACTGTGGCCACACCGTCCCAAATTCTGTGTCTGCACACACTGAGGTGGCCCTAAAAGCACTCACTTAACAGCTTAAATCTACTGTTCCAAAGGAAAACCATGGAATTCTTAGGAATGCAAGTAAAACATCACCTCAAACGTGCAGGAAAACTATACTCTTTAAATCCCAACTGCAAGTCCCTGTGTTTTGAAGTTCAGTACAAGTTGCCAAGTCCATCCCTCTGGAGATACAACCATAGATACAGACACAACCAATTCCATCTCCTTGGGAAGCACAAAAAGAGCCTCTAGCTCCCAGGCTGCCAAGTATCCCCAGAAGCTGGGACACAACATCTGGACACCGAGTTGAGACCAAAGCTAATCCAAACTCAAGGTACTTTACACTACTGGGGTGAGACTGGGATTGCCAGATCTGCTCCCCCCAACATTCCAGAGAATCATGGAATACCCTGAGCTGGAAGGGACCCACAAGGATCACTGAGTCCAACTCCTGGGCCTGGGGATGCTCAGGGATGAGGATGCTCAGAGGTGAGGGAGGGATGCCCAGGATGAAGGAGGGGATAGCCAGGATGAGGATGCTCAGGATGAGGGGGTGGATGTCCAGGGACAGGGTGGGGAGATAGGAAGGAAGGCCGGGATGCTCGGGAATGAGGGGGTTGATGCTCAGAAATAAAGTATGGATGTTCAGGGATGAGGGGGGATACTTGGGATGAGGGAGGGATGCTCAGGATGAGGAGGGGGATGCTTAGGGATGAGGATGTTCAGGAATGAGAAGGGGGGATGCACAGGACTAAAGGATGGATGCTCAGGGATGAAGGGAGGGATGCTCAGGGATAAGGGAGGGGATGCCCAGGGATAAGGGGGGGGATGCCCAGGGATAAGGGGGTGATGCCTAGGGGTGAAGGATAGGTGCTCAGGGATGAAGGGAGGGATGCCCAGGGATGAGATGGGGATGCCCAGGGGTGAAGGATGGGTGCCCAGGGATAAGGGGGGGATGCCCAGGGGTGAAGGATGGATGCTCAGGGATGAAGAGAGGGATGCCCAGGGATAAGAGGGGGATACCTAGGGGTGAAGGGGGGATGCCCAGGAGTGAAGGATGGATGCTCAGGGATGAAGGGAGGGATGCCCAGGGATAAGGAGGGGATGCCCAGGGATGAGATGGGGATGCCCAGGGGTGAAGGATGGATGCTCAGGGATGAAGGGAGGGATGCCCAGGGATAAAGGGGGGATGCCCAGGGGTGAAGGATGGGTGCCCAGGAATAAGGGGGAGGATGCCCAGGGCTGGCGGGGGGATGCCCAGGGGCCCAGCCGGGGCAGGGTGGCGGTCGGGGCGGGCCCAGGAGCCCCGCCCGCGGTACCTTGTCCAGGAGCCCGTTCCGGCCGCCTTTGGCCGCCATCTTCTCACTGTCTCCGCCCCCGCCCCGCGCGCGACACCTGGGCGCTCCTGATTGGCCGCGCGGGAGGAAGTTACACCCCGTTCCCCTCGCGCACGCCGCGAGGCACGCTGGGAAATGTAGTCCCTTCCTCAGGTTATTCCTGTAGGGTACGGGGTGTCCAAATCATGGAATCACGGGATAGTTTCGTTGGGAGGAACCTTAAATCCCGTCCAGTTCCATGGGCGGGGACACCTTCCACTACACCAGGTTGCTCCAAGCCCTGTCCAACCGCAAAAGGGCTGCCCGCAGTCCCTGTCCCTGGGGGGATTTCACCGCTGTGCGGATGCAGCACTTGGGGACACGGGTTAGTGGAGGCCTTGGCAGTGATGGGGGAACTGGATGGCCTTGGAGATATTTTCCTACCCTAACTATTCCATGATTCCATGATCTTCAACAGGTCTGTTGTGTGGCCAAGCCACGAGGCTGGACCCCGATGCCGTGGCTACAGAGGGGCAAATGCCACACAGATACTGCTGGGGGTCCCTTGGATTCACAGCTGGATTAACCCCACCTCAAACCCAGCTGCTGGGAGAACAGCCTTGGACTAAACGTGAATTAGCCTCACCATGAAGTAGGACTTTGATCTCTTCCATGTTTTATTTCCATCTCAGCTCCAACGGTGGTTCCATCTGGAACCGCCAGTGCAAGCAGGACCTGATACTTCCCTGCACTGACTGGGGAAGAGAGGAGGGAAGAGAGGCAAGAAATTAAGGTACTTTTTGCAGCTACTAGTAAATAAGCCAGCACATCTGCCTTCCCTTTGAAATTACTCAGGATTGCTGGTGCCTTTACTTTTTGGGCTCCTGTGTTACATGTGGGTTCGAGGGTAGAACTGGATCCCTGCCCTGTGGGGATGGAAGAGAGCTGAGCCATCCAAGGAGCCATACCATCACTCTGCTCACAACTCTGGCCTCCAAAAGAGGGAATCCAGCCCCAGGGCAGGTCTGGAGGCAGCAGGAATTCCACATGGTGTTCGAGATTTCCCCTGTAACCATCAGCGAGGAGACGGCCAAGCCATTTTCCCCCTCCTGAGGTAAGCAAATCTAGTAGGAAAATTGGATCAGAAAATCCAATCTTGTCCTGGATTTTCCATCTCATCCACCCCTGCCCAAAAACTGGAATCAGAGTGGCTGGGACAAGCGATGGGAAGCAATGGAGGATGCTCACTGCCCACTAGCTGCTTCCCTACATGAAAAATAGGTCGTTACACCCACTTTCACCAATTTTTCCCCCTGCAAAACATATTAGGAAAAATTCCTTCCCCAAAAGGATTGTCCAGCCCTGGCACAGGCTGCCCAGGGCAGCAGTGAGTGCCCATCCCTGGGGGAATTTAAAAGCTATGTGGATGTGACACTTGGGGACATGGTTTACTGGTGGGATTGGCAGTGCCAGGGGAACAGCTGAACTGGATGATCTTGAAGGGCTTTTCCAACCTAAATGATTCTCTCTGATCACTCAATAACCTCGCCCAATTGGCACAAGCAGCAGTAGATCCCGCTTGTCTCCAAGCACAGCAACTTTGGCAGAAAACAGGGATTTCACTGTCAGAACCTGGTTTTATTCTGTTTGAACCCCGGCCTCTGCCCCGCAGTCTCTCCCAAGTCCTGGTTGCTGTTAAAACGTACAACATTATTTGTACACATTTGCTATTTTGTCGGCGTGTTTCTGGTTTGTGACAGTTGTTTCACAAGCAGGATTTACTCTGTTTCAAACAAACAGAAGCCACAACATGAGGGATTGCCTGCGTGTCATTCCACTCACACATTTCACACATGCAAGTCAACGGTCCTTCGGTGCCTTTTGGAAACATTCAGGTGGTTCAGCTGAGACCCAAAATGACCGTGGAAAGTCTTGTCACCAGCCCAGTGCTCCGCTGGTGAGCTGAGAACGCGAAAGCACAATTGGAATTTTTCCACAAATGGAAAAGCGCAATATAAAGCATTATTGGAAAAAGAAAAAAAAGAAAAAAAAAAAAAGTGTAGCGACACCTAGGTTTGTTTTGAACAGTTTGACAGCAAATCCCAATCCGTGCCCAGCTGAGGGTTTTTCCATTTGCATAGTGAAGAGCTAATTTTAGAGCAGATGAGTTGCGGTGTTTTCCACACATGGGGAGGGGCAAAGTTTGTGTCAGGTGCGTGGATCATCCCAGTTTCCGTGCTGTGCATCTACCCAGCTCCCATCCATGGATGTCCATCATGGACAGTGGTTAGTTTTGCCCTCAGGTGTGAAACGGTCCAGGTTTTCCTGAAATGCTTCCCCTAATGCACGGGACAAGCTCTGTTGGAGGGTCTCTCCCCTCGGAGCATTGCTAAAGGCTTGGTTTTTAAAATCAGTGAGAGTCTTTAAGGCTTCAACCTCCCCCTTTGCTTTCATTGAGAAAATACTTGTTCAAGCTACACTTCCTGACTGCTGTGCACTGCAGGTACAAGAGCATTGGAAGAGAAATACTGACAATATAGAACAACATCGTACAATCACCTGGTATGATCCCTTTTGGCACTTTTCCTTCATTTATCTGATCTCGCTGGCTCCAAACACGGACCCTTCCGTGTGGCTTTTCCCAGGCAAAGAGCTCCAGAGGGTTAGAAAGCGACTTTCTGGAGTCAGCGGCATCTTTGGCAGACACAAGTCATGGAACCAACCCCAGCTTCACATTCTGGGAGGATGAAGGCTCCCACAAAGAATGCCTTCATCCCAGAGGGAAGGCTGAGGGTTAGGAAGGACTTTCCTAAAGTGTGAATAAATACGTGGTTTAATCTCAGGCCTCTGCACATCTTGCAAGAGGTATTTTCCTCCTCAGCTGGCTGAACTTCTGGCAAAGGTAGTGCCATTCCTGACCTTTTTATGGGAGAGGATGGGAACTCCTACTCTTTTGAGTGTAATTATTTACAATTTTTGTGTTTTTTTGTGCAAGCTTACACAGACTTCGAGAGTGTTAAATTAATAAAACATTCATCCTGTTTCGCATTGCCGCAACCCTTCCATGCTTGTGATTCCACATCCAAAGGTCTCCTTAAATGTGGATGCCACAGCCTGTGCGTGATGCTTGGGGAGTTGGGATCTCTGTTTTGGAGGGAGCTGGGGTCCCATGGAGGTTTTTTTGGCTGGGGACAAACTCCAGCTGAGGCATGCCTCCCACCCAGCTCGGATTTGGAAAGAGGAAATTAACGCACAAACCCCCAAAATATTTATAAAATCTTTTCCAAAGGAGATATTTAAGACACTGGCCTGGTGCATTGGGCTGTGAAATCTGTTTGAAGAGGGGAAAGAAAAGATACATTCAGCATTTTTTGTGGTGTGGCAGCCCAGGCCTGGCTGAACCCACACAAGAAGTGCCATGAGAAAGAAGGAAACTTCAGGGAAGTCTGAGTGGGACTGCAGGGATTAACTGTGGAAAAATAATTCTAAACCTAAATGCACTTGGGAAGTGCATACTTTAGCTCAAAATTTTGGAAGAAACCACGTGGATTCTCAGTTAAAGCTGTGGCTTTCCCTCCTGAGCTCCAAGGACACATCGAGGCCATTGCTCCTTCTCTCTGTGCTGCTCTTCCAGGTCTGGCCAAAGCTCTAATTCCTCAATTCCCTTCTAATTCCCAGCTGGAAAGAGGAGCAGCATTCAGTTTGGGTCAAAAGTGCCTGATTCAAGCAACCTCTCCTAAGGCTCTGAGAGGGCCTGGAATGCTGGAAAGGCAGAGCAGGCCAGGTCTCACCAGTCCTGGGGACAACTTTAACCATCCAGTAGTTTGTGTGGCAAGGAGATCCAGAGATACAGATATATATTATGGAATCATTGCTATAAGATTTCTCCAAACAAAAGTGTCAATCTTTCGAAATATAGTATTTAAAATATATAAATTTTATCCATTAAAATATAAGATTTCTCTTTTTTTTTCCTTTTTTTTTTTTTTTTTTTGTAAAAATCCAGTTCAATTAGGGAAACAAAAAAACTTGCCAGGGTCCTTGCAGTGAAAAAGAAAACCAGTTCCTGTTTTCTTTTTAACCGTTTTAAGATGGAGGGAGAAAATTCAACCGTTCTTAGACAGAGGAAATTGGGTAACAAATGTTCTTTTAGATCAGATCTAGTTTTTTAAGTCCACTGGGTGTCCTCCCTTCACACTATCCATGGAGAAGCTTGCCCCAGCACTGTGCTCATCCCCCAAAATCTCTGGCACATGGGTGGGCAGGTGGGGAACGCCACAGCTCCGCCCTGGACAAAGATCCCTGTGGGCTCCAAGGATCCCAGTGAATACCCTGCAAGGCACCTCTCAAGGATCGAGGTGGAACAGTGTTGTTTGAGCTCCATTACTGGAAATAATCCACAGAGTTAACGGATGGATGAGTGTTACAAACATTCAAAGGGCGGGAGGCCACATCTGGGCAGAGAACACATGCTCCACCAAGCCCAGGCTCCGGGCCAGCTCTGCTGCAGGCCCAGCTTTGTGCCTGGAAGTGGGAATTTTTAGTGCATTGCTCACCTGAGCTTTTTCAGTGGTTTGGACCTGGAGCCAGGGAGCTCAGAGCAGGGGAAGCCCTCTGGAAGGCTGGTCTCCCATCCCAGCTCCACAGCCAACCGCTGGGTGCCTGGAGAGCGCAGGGATGCGTCAGATCCCTCAGGATGCCTCCTCTGGGACATGTAAGAACAGGTCTTAGAGAGAGAGCTCTTAACCAAGCAAGATCCTGAGGGTATGTGTCAGCAGGGAGAATGTCTGCTGAACAAAATCACCCAGCTGGTATTTCCCTTCCTTCAGTGTTAGAGGGAAGAATAGGAAATCCTCTTGGCTCGGAAGGGGCAGGGACTAGGAGAAAAGCTCCCTGGATCCCAGCGCCCAGTGCTCCACCCAAGCTCTCTGCCCTGTCACTAACACAGAATTACAAGTCCCTATAAGGCTTTTCGGTAAAACCCTTATTTTAGGTCTCTTTTTTTTCACTTCTTTTGGTTTTTTTACATCAAGAAAGTGACGTATGGTCTGTACTGCTGGTGCAGACAGTGAGATACATTCATTTTTAAGTACTGTTTGGGATTTCCT